GCTGCGGCGACCAAGCCACACCTCCTTGCAAGGGAGGGTGACCAGATCTTCACGAAGACTTTCGTCGATGGGTACAATGAAAGGTCCGAGTTTTATTTCAATCTCACGCTGCTGGCCTCTAAGTGTGAGAAATCCAATGCCGATGTCGAAGCCATGCTGCGCGCCGAGCCCTGACACCAAGATCCTGGACTCGGTAAACCTGAATTTATAACCTTTGCTAGTTGGAACCTACGGGGCAAAACTCTTCGGGACTTTATGACCTGGCATGAAGAAATGGGCGAATGTCTTGATGTTGTGGCTCTGCAGGAAGTGGGTGGTGTTGCTGCCCTTCCGATAGTGCACGACTACGGGGAAGGACTTGTACAGGTGACATTACACGAGTGCAGCGAGATCCATGATTACGTTGTCTTTGCGTGTACACAACTCTCGTCGCACCTAAGTCAAATGATGCTTGTTGGCAGGGACTGCATTGACCATGTTGTTCATTGCTGGAAAGGAGACAGACTTTTGGGTGTTGAGATGGTTTGTGCATACTCGATGAGGCATTTAGTCGTGGTTGGCTGCCATCTTCCTCATGGTGATAATTCGGATGAGGACTTCCAGAGCTCCCTTAGGGAGGTCCATGAGGTGATCCTTTCGTGATCATGAGTGATTTCAATGCAGAGGCGACAAGTGCCCGAGGCATTCAGCTCAGCCAAACAATCACTTCAATGTGTGGCCGCGTCTTTCGAAGTCTCCAAGCTACTCGCTTTGGGAGGAGTTCCGAAACTGAACTCGACTACTTCATGGGTAACTCATATTTGCTCTCTCAGATAGTCACAGATGACGCAGCGGCCAAATGCTCTACAATTCCCTTCTCCCACACAGCTATTGGTAGCGACCATGATTGTCTATTGCTGGAACTCGCTCTCAAGGATCCTGCACAGTCTGGCCAGCGCAGGCGGAGACGTCGATACAGGCAATACAAGTGTAGGAGACAGAGTGTGCGCAGAGCTGCTTTACACGCCAGTGTACCTGTGTCGGCGCTTGCCTTTGTGGAGCTGAACACACAGCAGCAATGGGAATCCCTAAAGCAGTTGTCAGACGAGTTTTCGTTTTCCGCCCCCAGCCTTAAGTACAAAGACCCCCCTGGAGTTAAGCAACTTTGTCAACAGCGAAGACTGGCCACGGACCTGCAAGAACGTGCTCGTCTGACACGGCTGGTTATTGCTACTAGGCATGAAGCTCTGCTACGGTGGTTGCAGGATCTTCATGATCGAAGCTCGCGGGGTGATGCTGGTGCAATAAGGTATCTAAGACAGCGTGGCGTAGTTCATGGGGCTGATACCGAAGGTTTCGTCGCAAAGTGTGGGTGGGTGCAAGCGAGCATAGCGACTGTCAAGCAGCACTACTCCGAGCTTTTTGGCAAGCAGCCCTCTCAAGAGGAACAAGGGGACTTGAAACAAGCCCTGGACCGCCTTTCTGAGAAGGGGAGCAAACGCCCGCCAGTTCCCTTTGACTTTGCTGAGGTCGGTAAGGCAATGGCTCGCCTCAAGAGTGGTAAATTTACTGCAATTACGGGTATCAGCAACGAGTTTTTACTTGCAGTGTGGGAACTGGATGCGGGACAGCAAATGATTGTCTCGCACCTGAACAATCTGCTCGGCTGTGAGTCCTTGCCCGCGGACCTTTTTCATGCATACGTGTGCCTTCTGCCCAAGCAACATCAGATATTGGAATGCAAAGACCTTCGTCCAATCAATTTATTAGAATCCATCCACAAGATTTTTGCCTGGCTCTTAGTTACGAGATTACAACAGCATTGGCCGAGGCCGGGACTGCAATTGGGGGGCGTTTTGGGTTCCCAGGTTGTAGATGCACTCATGTGCGCCCACAATCGTGTTCTGAAAGAGAGCAGAGGGCACAAGTATGGCATATGGATCAGCTGCGACGTGGAAGCGGCGTTCGACAGCATTTCACAGGCAAGTGTGGCAGCATTTGTGCAAGAGCACAGTCCTGATGAATTGAGCACAGAGGCGCGCAGGCTGCTCCAACTCCTGATTGGTCCTGATCTAAAGTTTCCAGCAACAGACATGCGGAGTTCAACAGGGTGGTTCGCATTCAGCCCTACTGTTCAGCTATGTCTTCGGCCATACAATGTGTGAGCTTCAGCGTCAGTGGAGCGAGAGGGGTGAGCCTTGTTGGCACGATTCCTACGGATGGGCTTATGTAGACGACATGATCTTTAATTTTGTTGACTGGGCTCAGTGTGAGCGCTGCGTGGGTGATCTGTGCCAGGCCCTTGGGCGACTTGGTCTTAAACTAAACTTGAGAAAGACTGCCCTGATGTCACACCCCAGTGTCCTTCGCGCAGGGAAGTCCTGGGATTTTGTAGCCTCGTCAGTAATCCCCCAGCTCACGTGGAGTCGAAGCATCCGTTACCTCAAAAAGCCGCTCATACACTTTGATGTTGATGCACATCGGGATGTCACTGGCCTTATGGTACCGGCGATATATGCAGCAGTCAACAGCTCGTATGAAGGGTTGACCAGAGCGGTTCGTAAGGGTCGATGGCACAATCCGCAGGGCGCCTGAGAATGCTAAATTGCTATCTGGGTGGCACGTGGTTCTGGCTGAGTCTGCTACTAGAGCCGCTACAGAAACACTTGCATAGCATACGAGTTTTGCAGGTTGCCATGATGGTGCTTTTATTAGGGCTCTATCTGCCAGATCGGTTTTCGCACGAGGCTGCCATGCACTTGCACAGAATCAGAAGGAGAGTGGTTTTGGTCCTGTTGACTCTCGTACCCCAACAAGACTGGTGTTGTACTTGGGCGCAGCGCAAGTGGAATTATTTAGGGCATCTCCTTCGACAGCCGGGGCACAGCATCGCGCGTCAGTCAGCAACTAGCTTGTGCAGCACCAAAGCTGCTGTGCCCAGCCCGTGGTCGCACTCAGTGGGGTGGGGCTTGCAGCAGATCTCCAAACAGGGTAGACCCTGCAGTATTGGGTGACTTAGAGGTGGTCGCTTCGGATCGAGAAAGATGGTTTCAGATGAGCAAGCAGGTCGTTCTACAGTACCAATTGCAACATCCCATCGTGCATGCGAGCCCTCCGACGCAGCGGCGGGATGTCTTTCGAGTGCAGACGGATTGGCACTTGGGGGTCATGCTGCACGTGGCCCCTGGGGCGTATATGGAGTCCTCACTTACAGTTACCCTAGGTTGGCTGCATGAAGAGGAGGGAATGCAACGCTTTGTCAGGGAAGGCGATGTCTTGTCAGTCCTCATTCTGTGGCTACAGTACCTGCAATTTGAGTTCAGCGGTTTGAGGTTCACATGGAAGACTGGGTGTATCATCAGTGTATTTCTGAGTTGTGGAGTTTCCATTTACGAGCTTTTGCTGAGTACGACAGGATTGTTATGTTTCAGTTAGTCCCCCACCGAGTTTTGCAGGCTCTGTTAGGGCTGCTTTAAGCAATGCCTCTCAGAGTGCCTGTAACCGAGCTGCTGGCGCACGAGGCTCGCTGCAAAAGGGTTTGGGGTTTATAACTGTACTCAGAATAGTACTTGTAACCATATGAGGGCACTTAAGGGGCTTATAAGCTGGCTACAAGTACAGTTATGATTGGTTAATGAGGAACATGAACCTCCAAGTAGGTAGGCTTCCGGGCACCAGATATTCTAAGGGACCTGCATATAAATCTGTTTCAAAGGGTTTTAAGGCCAACCAGGCACTCTGGACCCTCTAAGTTGCTTGAGTGTTCAGGGTTTTGGGTACATCTTTGTTGGAAACTCCCAAGGGACTGAAGGAGGGACTCTTCCAAGGGACCTTGGGGGTGACATAAGGGAAGACAGGGGTTACATAGGGGAACAAGACGAAGGGTCCGTTGTAGACCCTAAACCCTAAAACCGTAAACCCTAAACCCTAAACCCTAGACCCTAAACCCTAAACCCTCTTTGTACCCCTTAAAGCCCCCGAGTTCCAGGTTCGACGACCTCATGATGCTGCAGGCAGGTGCTGCAGGAGTCGGGCTTCAGGCATTGGAGAGGCAGAGAGCTCTGGTTTAGGGTTTAGGGTTTAGGGTTGCAGTTTTATCCTAAAACAGTGTCATAGTTGGGTAAAATTTTACATAAGGATACTTAAATCCAAGCAGGAATGGACATTTTTTTTTAATACCATGAACTAGTAAACCCTAAGACCTGAAAGCTATGCACCCCTGCGCGTGAGTCACATGGATTTTGGGATCCAGTCATTGCGCGGCTGAGGACACGAAGTCTTTGGGGGTTCCGAAAGCACGCCCCCGAATATGTAATTACAAACAGTATTCCCTTAGGTTGGCTTTTGGGCTATTTTAGACTTTCTTCTTTGGGCTTGTAAGGGGACATGTTTTTAAGGAGACCAACCCGGTCACGTTGGTCGTTTTAGATTTCTACAGTTACATTCAGGACCCCAAAATAGCTACATTCTACTTTATACTTCCCGTGATCATGGCTGAGGATTTAGAGCACCAACCAGCTTTCGGACGTTGCTAACTTGGTCCTAGTAAATCCTGAACCCCCCCCCCCTCCCCCGACCGAAAGTCCCGATACCAGAGTAACACATTTAAAATTTTGGGCTCTCAGAAACGTGACGAAGGCTGGCGGAGCGATGGTCTACGCCGGCAAGGCCCTGGGAGCGAGATGGCGGGATGGGGCCAGGGGGGGAGGGTGTTCTGAACTTGACCCCCTGCTCTCTGGTTCTGAGGGGGGGGGGAGGGGCGGGGGGGGCTGGGAGTGAGGATATCCTTGCGTACGTAGGTATGCAAGTGTGTAATAGACATATAATTAGTATAGATATGTGTATAATATATATATATATGTATAATATCATATAGATATGAATATAAAAAATATAGAAGAAGCGCAGAGCCTTCTGAGCGTGTTCTCGGACGAGCTTGAAAACGCCGAATTCAACGGCTCAAGGACACCTCCAAAGCCCGACATCGAAAGGACCTGGAGGGTCCCAAGGTGCTTTAGCAGATGGCTGCCAATCCGGGGCGATTTTTCCCCTGGTCCAGCGACCAGCAGATCAACCCAGGATGGTTGGGCCCCTGCTTCTGCCAGGCTTACAGCAAGTGCTGGGTGAAGGAGTTCACGCAGCCCACGGACGTGCACTACTCTCACTTCCTCATGAAAGCCTCGGACACCTTGGATGCCAACACAGCGGCAAAGATGGAGTGTGCCCTCCTCCTCCCTTCCACGCAGATGCTGAGTTGCTGAGTGAGTACACGTTGCACTTTTTGGGATACTAGAATCCCCTACAGAGCGTACACTTTTTTGGGGCTAAACCCTAAACCCTAAACCCTAAACCCTAAACCCTAAACCCTAAACCCTAAACCCTAAACCCTAAACCCTAAACCCTAAACCCTAAACCCTAGCAACTAAGGATGCCCAAAGTGGACCCCCTTCCTCTCCCCGCCGCCGTCCCTTCCTTTGGGGAACCCAAGGGTCGGAACCTTGGGGACGAGCCTTTAAAAGGATTTTTGTGGTTCACATGTACCTTAAAAAGGGTTTTTATAGCAGCAAAGGGTATATAGGAATAATAGCTAGAAATAGGATTTAGAGTAGTAAAGGGTAGATAGTAGGCTCATGTACCTTAAATAGGCCTTTTATGGCAGTAAAGAGTAAATATGAACCTGAATAGGAGTTTTTGAATAGTAAAGGGTAGATATGACCCCCCCCAAAATTTGTCCCTTCAAGGAACAGGCTCTTCTCCATCCTCCGGGCTTTTGCCGCTTGGAAGCCCTTGGTCGGCTACCAGCCGGATCTCGCGAGGCTGGCTGGGCACATCATGTCCGTGACGGGACACTCGGTGGGCTTTTTGTTGGGGGATCTCTTCGATTTGCCGTATGTTTGGGGTTATACGCGAAACCCTAAACCCTAAACCCGAAACCCTAAACCCTAAACCCTAAACCCTACATACAAATACAGATTTTTCAATGGGATTTCTTGGCCAACCCAGGAAATGAGCGAGCGACCTTTCAGGCTTTGGTTACTTGGCAGCCTTGTGGTACCCTTTGTCACCTATTTCTTGTTTAGGGTTTAGGGCTAGGGTTTAGGGTTTAGGGTTTAGGGTTTACGGCCTAGGGTTTAGGGTGTAGGGTTTATGGTTTCGGGCCTAGGGTTTAGGGTTTAGGGTTTAGGGTTTAGGCCTTCAAGGTTCCCTCATAAAGTAGCCAACCCCAAAAAGGGGTACGATTATTAGAGTATGGTTGCTGGGCTACCAAGGTCACGGTGTACCAAAGATACCTAAACCCTAAACCCTAAACCCTAAACCCTAAACCCTAAACCAAGGTCACTGTGTACCAAAGATACCATTTGCAAGACTACTTCGAGGGCACGGGCGCAAAGGAAGCGCTGGGAGGCGATGCGGCCAAGATCTGGGCTGGGGCGCGGCTGAACTTTCCTGACCCTTGGGGACGAAATCCGGAGCCCTAAAGGATTTAGGGTTTAGGGTTTCGAGTTTAGGGTTCATATACCTTAAAAGGAATTACAGTAGTAAGGACCTTAATAGGAATTATAGAACTATAGGGAATCCGACCATGGTTTATATACCTTAGTGGGAATTGCAGTAGTTTAGGGTTTAAGGGTTAAGGGTGTAGGGTTTAGGGTTTAGGGTGAGTTCCCCAATTTTAGGGTTCATTTTGGTCCCCAAGGACTTGGCCTATGCCTTCACCCGCTTCAACGAGGCAGCGCTCTTCGAGTCCACCGTGTCCTCTTTGCTGTCGAGGTTGCTGACTCAGACGTTCTGTCCAGACATTCAACCCTTCCACTACCATGTTCCTTTGTCATGGTTGGGTAGCATTTTGCATGTTTGAGGGTACTTAAACCCAACAAGGGATAGACGTTTAACATTTTGAATATTCTCACCCTAAACCCTAAACACTAATCCGAACCCTAAACGCTAAACCCAATAAGGGATGGACGTTTAATTTTTTTATGTTATCCCAACCATGAGTCAGGTTCGACTCTTGCACTTCTTCTTACTTCCAGCCTGGGACTACGACCCTGAAGATCCGCGAGGGCAACTTCGCAAGCTGGTGCTTTGCATCTCCAGAGCTGAATTGAGTACACTTTACACTTGAGGGTTTAGGGTTTGGGGTTTAGGGTTTCGGGTTTTGGGTTTAATTCCCTCTAGACCTGGAAGTGTGTGCACATTCTTTTTGGGCGGGCTTATGTGAACTCAGCACCGAAGGCATCATGGCCAGGTACGAGAAGCCCTTCCTGCAGTGCAGGAGCCCAGCTGAGCTCCGGACCATGGCGGCCAGCATCGAGCAGCTTCTGGGTAAAACATGCCATACATGTCCCTTATTGGGATGACAAGAGGATCATGGACTACATATTTCCCTTATTGGGTTTATAAGAGGATCATAGACTACATATTTCTTTATACGAGGATCATAGACTACATGTTTCCCTTATTGGGTTTAAGCGGATCACAGACTACACATTTCCCTTATTTGGGTTTATAAGAGGATCATAGACTACATATTTCCCTTGTTGGGTTTGTAAGAGGATCAGAGACCGGCATATTCTTTCAGAGGGTTTTGGAATAACCCTAAAACCCTAAACCCTAAACCCTAAACCCTAAACCCTAAACCCTAAACCCTAAACCCTTTTCAGAGGGTTGTTTAATTGGGCCATGCGAGGTTTGTTCGCGTGGACGACGCCTTGATCGAGATGATGAGCAACAAGTACTGGACACTCGAGCTCCCTCGTGGCCCCGTGTGGCCGGCAGCGTTCCTATATCCCCCTTTTGGGGAATTGCTTTTTTCATTTTTTGCCTATACAAAACCCAAGAGGATATTAAAATTACTCTTTTTAGTAGAGTATAGGTTCATGGCTGGATTGGGCGCCGTGCTCGCCTATGACTTGGCAAGCCCACTGGGCTTGGGAGCGCATGTCGCCTGCACCTTGGGCTCCACATGATCCCTAAAGTTTGGTATCGGACACAAAAGTTCCATAGACAGCAAGAAAGAGCCCACACCCTGATTCTGTAGGCTAGTCCTCATTGAGGTATAAAAGGCACCTCAGCCCATGTAAAATCCCGAAACCCCTTAACTCTGCACCCTAAACCAGTCCAAAAACCCCGGAACCTTCAGGCCGAAACTCTGCAGCCTAAACTAAACCCTAAACCCTAAACTCTGAACCCATTCCCCAACATCCCCCTCGGCTATGAATGCCGGAACTCTACGAGGGTACCCCCCCCCGGTTCGGCAATTAAGTTTCGGCAGCTGTGGTTTGTCACTGCCTTTTGCGTATGTGTGGGGTCTATGCTGGATCTCGATGGGCAGGGTAGAGAAATTCCTTTGGCACTTTCCCTAAACCCTAAACTCTAAACCCGAAACCCTAAACCCTATAAATCCTATAAACCCTATAAACCCTATAAACCCTCTAAACCCTCTAAACCCTCTAAACCCTCTAAACCCTCTAAACCCTCTAAACCCTAAACCCCCCAAACCTAAACCCCTAAAAGGGGGTATTCCCCAAACCAAGGCACCGCGTGCGGGAGCGCCGCTGGCATCCTCTATGGAGCGCTGCAGTCGGCGCAGTGGACATCTTGGCTGAATTGGCAAAAGGTTTATTTATAGGGTTTGGGGTTTAGGGTTTGGGGTTGAGGGTTGAGGGTTGGGTTTAGGGTTTAGGGTTTAGGGTTTAGGGTTTAGGGTTTAGGGTTTAGAGTTTAGAGTTTAGAGTTTAGAGTTTAGAGTTTAGAGTTTAGGCTTTCGGGATCCTTAAAGAGAAAGTTCGGGGTTGGGGGGGCTGGGGGAGGGTACCGCTATGCCCCGTTTCTATCGGCAAAGGGTTCCGACCTCCTAAGCCCCTTCGTATCTTGTAGCCCAATATTAACCGTTTTTCACCCTAACCCTAAACCCTAAACCCTAAACCCCACGCCGCCCACAGTCCTGGCAGGAGTGCAGAGGCATGTGTGCTCACGAACCGAGCGCTGTCACCTTACGGCGACGGCTCGCACTTTTTGGAGAATAAGGGCTGTTGCAAAGAAATTCAGGATGCAGGATGCCCGGTAGCAGAACCTTCAAAAAACTAGCTTCTCAGGCGGTTCGGGTTTCTCTCTTGGGTCTAAGAATGCTAGCAATCCGAACCCTAAACCCTATATAAACCCTAAACCCGAAAGCTTTTTTCCTGGGCTACTCTTGGGTCTAACCCCTAAACCCTAAACCCTAAACCCTAAACCCTAAACCCTAAACCCTAAACCCTAAGCCCTAAACCCTAAACCCTAAACCCTAAACCCTAAGGTTCGGTTCCCTGCTAGGGCCCCACGCAGCCCCAACATTTTTCAGGGTTCGGACGTATGGGCCCTTGCGTTGTATAGGGCATAGTAGGGGTCCCTTTTAAGGGCCCCCTAAACCCTAAACCCTAAACCCTAAACCCTAAACCCATGTAGCTACCCTAGAACATGTGGGCTGCACTGGGCATCTAGACAAATTCTGGCCTGTGCGCAGCCACTTTGCTGGAGTGCCACTTCCCACATGACCACTGTACCATTCGTTTCATCCCAAGGGCCCCAGAGGGTTTAGGGTTTAGGCTAGGGTTTAGGGTTTAGGGTTTAGGGTTTAGGGTTTAGGGTTTGGGGTTTGGGGTTTAGGGTTTAGGGTTTAGGTTTTGGATGTCGTGTGCACAAGCTCAGACTTTTGAGACAGCCACTCCCAATCTTTTGGGGCCCTTGGTTGTTCTTTTTTCCCTGGGCAAGTGGATCAAAATGGAAACTTGCAGGGACCCACGCCTCAGAGCCCTGGTCAACAGATGGGAAGAGGGCGGTACAGATTCAACCAGCAAAGTGGGGTTGATTTGGCAGAAATGTCAAAAGCTCCGGGGGGCCCTACTACCCCCGGTGGGCCGTATTATTGTGTAACCCTAAAACCTGAACCCTAAACCTGTCCCAGAGAACAGCAAACCCTAAACCCTAAACCCTAAAGCCTAAACCCTAAACCCTAAACCCTAAACCCTAAACCCTAAACCCTAAACCCTAAACCCTAAGCCCGGCCCCCCTCCATCAACCCGAACATTCAGTGTGTCTGGCGGCCACTCGCTGGATCCGATGAGCTGCATGTGTAAAGGTTGACGTGAGGGCAGCTGGGTTCTGAAATTAGGAAAGCATGTAGGGTCCGGGGTTTAGGGTTTAGGGTTTAGGGTTTAGGGTTTAGGGTTTAGGGTTTAAGGTTTAGGGTTTATATAGGGTTTAGGGTGTAAAGGTTTAGGGTCTAGGGTTTGAAAAAGGTTTAAGGCGGCGAATAAGAACAACATGAATATTCGCCATGTGGAAACATTTATCGCAACACAGCCTGCGTGAAGCCTTCGTGCAGCCGGACTTTTCAAGTGCCGCTTCTCATGTGACTGAGGTGTGTTTTCTCGGGCCCCAAAACAACTCGTTGGGATTCTGGGTTAGGCTATTGCGAAGGGCAAACCTCAAACCCTGAAACCTAATGAGACCCGGTGTTTGAAACCCCCAAACCCTATAACCCCTAAAACGCGGGAGGTGCAGCTTTTACTCGGGTATTTGGGGCCTTTGATTCGATTCAATCTAAGGGGTCCCTGGCACAAACGCACCAGCCTTTCCTGTATGTTTGCCTTGAGTTTGAAAGCCCAAGCTCCAAAATTGGATACTTCCTGCCGGGGACCTAACGACAGTCACATCCTGGTTGGGTACAGCTCCTATCGCCACAGAAGGTCTGGCGGAGTCTGGCGGCCACTATAGCTGCATCCGACGAATACTGATCGGATCTGGCAGGTTTTGCTCAGGTGGTCACTCAGCCCTGAAGCCAGCGCTTGCTGTGATCGGTGTCTGTGGTACTTGCTTCGGCACTCGGTGTCTCCACATCCGAAATCAAAAATGCCATGGGTCATGCCTAACCCTAAACCCTAAACCCTAAACCCTAAACCCTAAACCCTAAACCCTAAACCCTAGGAAAAACTGGCTTAGGGCTTGCCTAGTGCATGGCAAGAGCCAAAGCGGAAGCTTCACGCGGCTTCAATTTGAATTCATTTTGCCTGGTTCAAGCAATGCATGACAGGTGACAAAAAGCAACTTTGCATTAGGGTTTAGGGTTTAGGGTTTAGGGTCCCCCACCCCCAATTCTTGCAACCCCGCAACATGTCCGTGAAGAGTCCCTCGCCCGCGCCAGTTAGCCGACGTGAAGTCTCACTTTGTTCAGTGCGGCTACGCTTTCCCCGAAGAGCGCCGTGGCCAACATTTTCGCTTCCTGAGGCCACAGATTGTGCAGGAGTTCAAGGTATTTATAGGTTGTATAGGGTTTATAGGGTTTATAGGGTCTATAGGGTTCTTAGTGTATCGGGTTTATAAGGTTTTTTAGGGTTTAGGGTTGATTGCATGCGACTATTGATGTTTGGGGCTTCAACATTTGCACGGTCGTTCCGGCGATGGCGCACGCTTATATGCTTTTGACCCTGCGTGTACTAGATACAGACTTTTGCCTTGCAAAGAGCCGAGGCAAGGGTACTCATTGCCCGAGACTTGATTGCACGATGTTGGAAGTTTGTTCACCCGCCCTTCCCCCCCCCTCCCCCCCCCAGATTACCTTTGGCACCTTTTCAGCATAAGGACTGGCTGGTGGACACCACCAGTGGAGCTACTGGATCACTCGTGGATGCAGATGCTACAGAGGTTGGAGGGAGGTTGCCGGTTGAGGTTCCTCGTCTTGAGACCTTGGGCACGCGACTACTGAACTGCTGCTCTACTGCCACTGCTTCGAGGGTTTCGTTTGGGTCGAGACCGCCTGGGTTTAGTGTTGCGGCCTACGTAAACCCCAAACCTAAACCCTAAACCCTAATCCCTAAACCCCAACCCTAAACCCTAAACCCTAAACCCTAAACCCCAAACCCTAAACCCTAAACCCTAAACCCTAAACCCTAAACCCTAAACCCTAACCTCAAACCCGAAACCCGAAACCCGAAACCCTAAACCCTAAACCCTAAACCCCTGCCCGGAGGACGGCGCAGCGGCCACAGCAGACTTCGCCCAGCATTGGGCCAAAAGCGGCCTGTCTACAAGCCACCCCCCCTTCCTTTCTGTGGGTTTAGGGTCAGGGTTTAGGGTTCAGGGATACTTGGGAATAGTTTTTGTTTTTTGGGCACTTCAGTTCAGAAGAAACAGCCAAAATCATATATTCAGGAATATTTTTCGGAGAGTCTTTAAGGGCCATCCTGGTTAGGGTTCTAGGGGTTGAGGCTTTACTTGGAGACCCTTTTGACTTAGCAAATGGGGCCAGCAAGGGAGGGTTATGGGGATTTTTGCAGGGTTTCTCGGGGATACTAAGCCGACTTGTCTCAGTCGAAAGAGCTTCCAAGTAGCCCTAAACCCTAAGCCCTAAACCCAAAACCCTAAACCCTAAACCCGGCTTTCTGGCCTGTGACTTGCTGTTGGTGAGTAGCCTACGTCCCTATAAAAAACCCTTTGAGGGATTGTAATTCCCTGATTCCCTACTACCCAACAGTAAGGTGAGGACTGGGAGGATGATTGCTTGAGAGTTTTGGGGTTTCGTGTGGGAGGGGGGGCGGCGGGGCAGGGTTGCCGGGTTCTTTTCCCGACTGCATGCTCGGCGGGTGGCCAGGAGAGCTCTGCTAAACCCTCTTCAACCCTGAAACCTGGTGAGGTTCTACATAGTGTCTTCCCACCAGCTGGAGGCTGAAACGGGTGTAAACGCCTTCTTAGGGTTTAGGGTTTAGGGTCTATCTCATGGACAAAAGGTCTATCTCAAGCACATAGTGATAGTGGCAAACCCTAGCCCAAGATTTATGTAGGGCTTATAGGGTATATGCGGACTTGCTTGAATGATTGTGGCTCGCAGGCCCCGCCAGCGAGGCCCGAAGGGTCGGGGGTTGTGTTCGTTGTAACCGTGCTATGGCCATTCGCTTAAGAGCCACTCAAGTCTAGGGATGACTTTCTTTCATTTTTTTGGGCGGTTCTCAAGCAAATAGTATGCTAGGTTGGTGTTGCTGGAACTCCTAAAAATCTTTCGGGGTGGGGGACTTGTCTCGTTCTGGCTCGTTTCTTTGTAGGGCTTCGGGGGGCCTTCAAAAAACTGACGCCAGCCTAATTACTCCGCTCCGGGCAATTCAGCGTAAGATGTTGGAGTTTGCTGGGATCTGAAGTTAAACCCAATGTTTAGGGTTTAGGGTTTAGGGTTTAGGGCCTTAGGGTTTGCGCTGTAATCTGCAGAGGAGTCCATGCCCAGGATGCCTAAACTCTCTCTCTCTCTCTCTGCTTTCCAACCCTAAACCCTAGCCCTAAACCCTAAACCCTAAACCCTAAACCCCAAACCCTAAACCCTAAACCCTAAACCCCAAACCCTAAACCCTAAACCCTAAACCCTAAACCCTAAACCCTAAACCCTAAACCCTCGACCCAGCCACGCCTCCAAAGGCACTCCGACCTTACGGCCCACCTGAATCATAGAATTGGAATCGTAAGTTGGGATGTTCCAACTTATGCTAACAGTCCTAGATAGGAATTATAATGGGTTCAATTAATGTATTGTCGTGTTTTTTGACAGGAATTATAGTACCCCCCCCCCATTATAAGCCCTGTTAAGGACTGTTAGTGTAAGTGGGGAACATCCTAGATCATAAGCCTTATACCTACATCATCCCAGAGTCATACTACCACAATCCCGCATGTCCGTCCCTGTTCTTGAGGTATTTGTACCTCCCACCCATTCCCTGTTTCAAGTGCACTTTCCTCGAAGGATGGCAAAACATGCCAAACGGTAGCCATGTCATCCCTAAACCCCACCTGGACCCCCAAAGTATGTAAGCAAATAGCCCAAAACCCATCAAGAAAGAAATTACGTGACATACTTCCCCTAAACCCTAAACCCTAAACCCTAAACCCCAAAGACCTCCGAAGATTCTTTTGCGCGTCTCACGTGCACGAGGCCTATGGGAAGGAGCTGAGCGACATCCTCACCAAGCTGAAGGCCACCCGCCTCGGTCCTCAGGGTTTAGGGTTTAGGGTTTAGGGTTTAGGGTTTAGGGTTTAGGGTTTAGGGTTTAGGGTTTAGGGGTTTAGGG